AGGGTGGATGGGTGGATGGGTGGATGTGTGGATGGATGGGTGGATGGATGGGTGGAAGGATGGATGGGTGGATGGGTGGATGTGTGGATGGGTGGATGGATGGATGGATGGATGGGTGGATGGATGGATGGATGTGAATGATGGATGAGAGGATGGATGATGGATGGATGATGGGTGGCTGATGGATGGATGGGTGGATGGATGGATGGGTGGATGGATGGGTGGATGGATGGGTAGATGGATGGATGGATGGATGGATGGGTGGATGTGTGGATGGATGGATGGATGGATGGATGGGTGGACAAATGATTAGATGAAGTAGAGAGATGACGGAAGATGTGACAGCAGTGGGCACACAGGACTTGCATATTTCGCTTCTCTGTGGAGATACACACAAACCTATTTAAACCACCGTGCTATGCATCAAGTCCAGCTTGTTTCTTTGCTTACTTTTCAATATCAGGCCATTCATGACACATCCAAACACTTTACCCTCCTTACTCTTCTATTTGGTGACTAATATACTTCCTAAAGGAAGACATTTTAGTTTTAACTTTCTGGATGTGAAATGGCACTTCACCATGCATGTAAAGCTAAAAATGCTGACTCGTGGTGTGATAATTATGTATTTACAGCTACTAGTACCATCAAGATTGATCACATTGCATCAAGTGGGACACACAGCCTATGTGTTGGAACTTCTGAGTGATTACTGATATTTTTATTCTGTTTTATTCCTGTACTGTCACGTGATTAATTGGCAATCAAAGTATTTATCTGAATTCTTGTGTAGACTGTAAGCTTTCAAATTTGAATAATTTTTAGATAGCATAGCTTCCTATAGAGGGAGAGGGAAAGGGAGGGGAGAGGGAGGGAGGGAGGGAGGGAGGGAGGGAGGGAGAGAGAGAGAGAGAGTGAGAGAGAGAGAGAGAGAGAGAGAGAGAGAGAGAGACTCCCTGTAGTCCTAGCTGTCCTAGAACTCACTATGTAGCCCTGGTTGGCCTGGATCTCACAGAGATCCACCTGCCTCTGCCTCTTCAGTGCTGGGATTAAAGGCGTGTGCCACCACATGACCAGAGTTTCCTATAATTTTCTGCTGGAAAAAGGGAAGATTTCTAGTGATCTGATTGATTTTGTTATGTAGTGTTTAAGGCAGTCAGTGAAGACATTTCACGTATGACATCTGAATACAATAGAATAGGTCTGCCATCGATGAGCACAGCAGGACCTGTATTCACCTTCTTCTCGCGAGGTGCTGACAGAACTCCTGGGCTCCTTCGTTACTCTGGCAAGTTCACAGGGAATCCTGAAAGTCAGGAATATTTTGCAATTGATTTTTATATTCTTCATGTTGATTTTATGTACATCTTTTCTGCCTCCTTTGAATGTCTTCTTTGGCTCTTAGCAAATTCAACACACACTAACAATTGATTAGTGCTCTTGATTGTTTTCCAGGATGAAAAACATTCACAACTATTACCCCGATTTCTAAAAATGCACATAATAATCGAAAAATCTTTGGTAAGTCCACTTGTCTCTCTCGCGTCCTTCCCCTTTTCCTCCCCGTTCTCCCTGCCCCCCGCATCTCGTCTCGATCTCTCCCACGTCCCTTTCCTTTCTGCCCCATCCCTCAGTCACTCTTTGCTTCCTTCCCCTTCCTTCTTCCCTCCTACCTGTTCTTACATGAGGAATCTTAAATTGATATCGCCTGTTTTCTTTTTTAATATTTTATTTATTATTTTTATTTTATGTGTATGAGTATGTTTCCTGTATGTGTATAAGTGCACCCATGTCATGAAATGCCCATGGAGGTCAGAAGAGGGCATCATATTCCCTTGGAAATGGAGTTACAGATAGTTGTTAGCTGTCATGTGGGTGCTGAGAACCGAACCCAGGTCCTCTACGCAGCCAGTGCTCTTAACTGCTGAGCCATCTCTCGAGCCCCAGATATTTTTTTAAGGTCTAGGAGGCAGAGGTAGGTAGGATCTCTGTGAGTTCCGGGCCAGGCAGCTCTCCCCATAGTGAGATTCTGTCTCAAAAAAAAAAAAAAAAAAAACTGGAGATGGCTCAGCAGTTAAGGCACTCCTTTAATAGTTTTATTTCTTTATTATGGGTATTTTAATCTCATTTTATGGTCCAAATTTATACATCATAAATGGAGTCTTCTGATAAGCATTCTTAATAATAATACATTTAAGTCCGTTTATGATTTTTCTTACTGAATCTTTTGTTTTCAAATTAACTAAAATATCCTAGTCAAAGGAAATAGGTACCCTCAACTATATTTTAATTTCAATTTTTAATTTCTTTACCATTTCAAATCGGTCTTATGATCTATATCTAGGTGATAAATGTACATATCACGAGATAGGGATTAAGGCTTTATTTTCCATGTGTGCATCCATTTTCTCCAGCACCATTTTTGAAAATATATCTCTTACTACATTCAGTTTAGTGAGCCAGTTTCCAAGGCCGTATCGTGAACTATGTGTGGCCTATGAAGTCTCGCTCTCGGAAGCCCTGTGTGTGTCTGGTTGATCCGATACCTAAGGCGCCAGTTACTGTAACGTTATTGTCATTGAGTCTGTTTTTGTCCTATTCTTCGTTATTAACTTGGCTCTTCTGAGTCACATATATTTAACCCATTTTTAATCACTGTATATACGCCCACTAGAAATAAATAAATAAACAAATAAATAAATAATAGTAAATAAACCTGAGCATGGGGGTTCATACCTAAAATTTCTACATTTAGAAGGTGAAGCAGGAGATCACCACAAGTTAGAGGCCAGCTTGGGCTACATACTGAGTTACAAGCCAGATGGACTACTGCTGAGAATCTTGTCTTAAAAAGCAAACATCAGTATATATTGTATGAAATTCACAAAAAATTCAATAAAAACAAAAACAAGAACCAAACGAACTGTGGTTTTTTTTTTTTTTACTCGAGAGTTGTATTAACTGTTTACACCAATTCTGGGCAGATCTGTCATTGTACTTTGTCACCCACTCCCTGACTGTGGAGAGTAACACCCCTCCCCCCTGCACACACACACACACGCACCACACACACACTCATACACACACGCACACGCACACAATGCACACATGTGCACACACACATGTGCACATACATGCACACGCACACACACGCGCACACAGATGCACATACACACATGCACACATACGCACACGCACACGTACACACATGCACACAACGCACACATGTGCACACACACGCACACATGTGCGCACACACGCACAGATACACACACACACAGACACACATGCACATGCACACACATACACAGACACATACACGCACACACGCATGCACACGTATACACATGCACACAACGCACACATGTGCACACGCACGCACACACGCAGATGCACACATGCACACGTGCACACACGCACACACATGAACACACATGCACACACATGCACACGTGAACACACACATGAACACACACATGCACACATGTACACACGCACACACACGCACACACATGCGCACACACAGGAACACACATGCACACAGACACATGCACACTCACACACGCACACACATGCACACATGCACACACGCACACTCACACACGCACATATACACACATGCACACAACGCACACATGTGCACACACGCGCACACGTGCGCACACTCGCACACAGACACACGCACATGCACACACACGCACACACATGCACAAAGACATGCACACACGTGTGCACACATGCACACGTACACATATGCACACAACGCACACATGTGCACACACGCACAAACACATGTGCACACACGCACACGCATGCACACACACGCGCACACGCATGCACACACATGCACACAGACACATGCACACTCACACATGAACACGCATGCACACATGCACACACACGCACACACACATGCACACACATACACGCACATGTACACATGCACACACATGCACACACATGCACACAGACACATGCACACACGCACACACATGCACACATGCACACTCACACACGCACACACACGCACACAGACACACATGCACACAACGCACACGTGCACACACGCGCACATGTGTGCACACACACACAGACACACGCACATGCACACACACATGCACACATGCACACGCATGCACACACACATGCACACGTACACATATGCACACAATGCACACATGTGCACACACGCACAAATGTGCACACACACGCACACACGCACACGTGTACATACACGCACATGCATGCACACACATGCACACACATACACGCACATGTACACACATGCACACACGCACACACACATGAACACACATGCACACACATGCACACAGACACATGCACACTCACATGCACACATATGCACACACGCACACACATGCACACACATGAACATGCATGCATGCACACGCACACACACACATGCGCGTGCGTGCATCATTCACATACATTTGCTCTACACCTTTCAGATTCTTCCAGGGAGAATCTGAAGACCTGGATTTACAACTGCAGCAGGCTGGATACCTAGAGGTCAAGGTGTATTTTTTATTACTTTTCCATCCCATCTGTGCCCAAATATGGCCCATTAGACATTAGTTCCTTGGGAATTCATCTACTAGAAAAGAGCACACACTCCTTCCAGAGCGGCTGGCACTGGACCAGCCCTGCCGCTGTTTGTGCCCCACTCAGAACCACATCTTCTCCACAAAATCATAAGTAAGGAAATAAATGAAAATAAACCAAGGGAAATAAGCCCAGGGAAACTTGGAAGCACAGAGTGCTGCTATTGTTTGAACTAGATCATTTAAGAATGAACTGCTCAGGAATAGGCCATACAGTGTTGAGACAGGGTTGGCTGAGCCAGCCATACACAGAAGCTCACCTCAGGAAGAAAGCTGTATTTCTATTGTTTGATGAGCTTGAGTTTTCACGAAGTGTCATAACGAAGGAACTCATATATCTCGTACCTACCAGATGTATATTTTGTTCTATGGAGAAATTATTTTGTCTAGAATGTATTCAGCTTTAAATTCAGTCACTGGGAATACAGGATTGAGTTTACATTATTGCATTTATCAACATTTGGAAACACCACATCTATTGTGAGTCAAAAGCCATAAATTCTCTTAAGATTTGGTTGAAATACTTGTTTTCAAAGTGGGCCATTTTGTCACAGATGAGAAGCATTTTCCAGTTGCTACTCTGAAGAGCAAAGGGTCCATTACGTTCTCAGACAGAAGTCCACATTCCCCCAGGAAGTGGACGGTTTCAGAGGACTGTGGTCCCTGCTGCAGAAACTCAGCTGATGATCCGACCTCATTGGCACATTCATTTTACATAAATTTTCACTACATATCATGGTGATTTCTATCTTTTCTTTTATAAACAGACATATTTTTGAACTTCATTGAGTTTTTCTGTTTATTTACCCGTTTGCTCTTTATTTCCTGAACATTCAAGGAGAGATACTTGGAACTCTGCCTCCTAGCCAGCATCCAGCTACAGAGGTTCCTTCGTAAGAGGGTGACGTCCTCAGAACTCTGTCATTGCCACTTATTTTATTTCTTCTGCTTGAGAATGTCTTAAAAGATTACGCTGAGTCTACGCCCACATGTGTTTTTGTCTGTTGTGTTTTGTTATAAAAGCATAATAATTATATTAGAATGTTGTAAGTTATTTGACAAAGCCTGGTATTATCAAGATAATTCAGCAGTTGAAAATTTACTATTATTTATATCTTTTTTAAATCTTAAAAAGCTAAATTTGTATTTCAGTATGATTATATGGGATCTGAAATTATGATGGTAACACAGAAAATTATCCAGATTCTTGGGCTTGTCAACACTGTAAGTTTTTAGTTTTTCACTTTTCTAACTTCATGGAAAACATTGACTATACTTTGCATTTTACAACTACAGCAAATGAGTAACTTAAATATTTTTATTAGTTTAATGTTAAAATGCTGCAAGTGAACGTTTTCTGTGTGTTGAGGTGCTGCTTGAATGCAGTGATTGCAGTTGGTGACGTGTGTGCCGCAATCTTATTTGTAGGTCTTTGCTCAGTTCAAACTGGCTATTATACTGTCCTCCTTGGGACTGTGGTCAGACAAAAACCAAATTTCTACCGACGGAGATGTCGATGATGTTTTACAAAGACTTTTGGACTGGAAACGTGGCTCTCTAGTCCTACAGCCCCTTGAGATAACACACTTACTCATGTAAGTAGACACGGTGTTCTAAGAGTAATAAATGAATTTATAGTTCCATTAAGGTCAAGTTTTGCATTCATAATGTTCTTCAATTTTTGTGAGATGCTTTGAGGATCATATATAAATATATATGTATATTTAATAATTATGAAGGCAATAGTTCAAAAATAAAAACAATAATGACCAATTTTTATATTAACATTTTAATACTTGAAGTGTAATTAATGTGAACAAATCCTGAATTTCATAGACTTGTATGGTATCAGCTTTACTACAGGATACTGAGTTACTACAGAAATTTGAGCTTATTAACAACGTAAATATTACACTGTGCCCTTATCTTTACCCATACGTTAATGAATTTCATGTCTACTTTTCACAAAGAAGGATTTAGGTAGGATTTTTTTTGTAATTGCTTAATGTTAAACAAGTACTTATCTTTAGGAGAAGTAAAATTGCTTCTTCCACAAATTAAACTTTCCTTTTAACATTTAGTGGTTGATGAGTGTACAATAAGGGAAAATTTGTTGGATTCTAGATAATAAAATTATAAAAAAATCTGGGAGTTAAGTGAAGCAACTGGTGTGAAAGGAATATTTGCCACTAATTATAGATGACTTGATCCCACATAGAGATAACAGCGAAGAGTCAATAAAAAATCTGGCAGTGGCCAGAAGTGGGGGCGTACACCTTTTAACCCAGCACCCTGGAGGCAGAGGCAGGTGGCTCTCTGTAGGACTGAAGCCAGCCTGGTTTACATAGATTCAGACAAGCTGAGGCTACAGGGAGACTATGTCTCAAAAATCAAAAACAAAAACAAAAAAAACAGAAAGCAATAGTTTCAATAGTTCGGATATTTTGCACAATTTATGTCCAGAGTGCAGCATTTTATGTTTCTGAAGTAATTTTCCAAATTTTATGGGATGGTATTATGCAGTTTATACATTGTTCTACATTACATTAATACAAAGTCAAACTGTTGTGATGCAGTTATGGGAAGCATCCTCAGCGCATCGGAGCCACGTTCCCTGGTGCAATATGCAATGAAAGCCACAGTGTGGGTGTTGCTGTGGTATGTGAGCTTTTTTTCTTATTTCTATTACTGCTTTTTAAAAACCTTGAAGTGTATAAATACTCATGTAATAGTCAAATATTTCTAAAGTTTTTTCTGTATATGTAGATCCATTATGTGTGAGGGGGGTCAAATTATTAGAATCTGAAAAGATTTCATTTAATTACAAATTTCAAGCAAAAAAGTATGCCACAAATATTAGTACACACTTTCACTAACTAGTTGTGATGTTTACTGAAATTGCCCCTGATGTTTAAAAATATTTTATTCATTTATTTTATTTTATGTGTATGAGTGTACTGCCTACAGTACGAAAGTACACCTGGGTCACGCAATGCCTGCAGAGGTCAGATTCCCCTGAAACTGATGTTAAGGACGGTTGTTAGCTGCCATGTGGGCGTTGGGATTCAAACCTGGATCCTCTGCAACAGTAGCCAGTACGCTTCACCACTGGGCCATCTCTCCAGTCCTGATTTCTTAATACTTTAAGCTGTTTTTGCAAATTTCATTGTATTTTCTTATGAACCAAATAATGAACTAAGGTAAAACTGCCTTGATTGCAAAGTATTTTTTTAATAATTGCATCCAAATAATTTTGTCCAAATTTTTAATAAAACTAAAGGGCCTCCACTTTGCTATATGTGTGAGAAATCCCTCTTTTCTAGAGACACTCTGGAGAACATATCTTCTTTGTCAGTGTGTACAAGTCCTGCTGCATAATCTCACACTGGTTGGTCATGTCTCCTTTGCAATGTGTGCATCCCAATGTGATGTTCTGTTCACTCCCTGTCGTAGAATGGACCTTCCCACGACTGACTGGACACAATGGGAAGCAAACTGTATGGGAGCTGGGTGAGGAAAAATGAATTTAGTTCTCTTAGAACTTTGGGGTCTGGTGAGATGGTTCAGCTGGTAAATACACTTGCTGCCATGCCTGGTGACCTGAGTTCAATCCCTGGGACCCACGTAGTAGAAGGAGAGAACCAACTTTCATACGCTGACCTCTGATAGCCACACTCATGAGGCAGCACTCCCACATGAAAATAATAAGTAAATAAATAAATGCTATTTTAAAACAGTGGGTTTATTCATACACTGGAGTTTAACAGTCTCCAGTTGTCTGACAGCTTCCCTCTGGAAACCTAAGGCCATTCTTTCTCACATGTGTGTGACTTGCTTTCTTTGTAGAAATATTTAACAACTTTCCATCCTCACATGATATCTTTTTATTTTTTAATTTATTTATTGAGCTTTATCAATTTCATTTTTTGTAATTCCTTAGTCAAATTTAGACTCCCCCATCCATGTCCCCCCATACCCCCACCAGACATCATGCATTCTGCCATACATGTTAAGTCCTATCCAGTCAAACATTTGTACCCAGATGTCCTTCAGTATAAATTCATCCCCTGGAGTCTAGTCAGCCGATCTGGAGATCAGATGTAAGGTCTACTCTCCTTTATGCAGTAGCAATCAGTCTCCAGTAGTTCTCAATCTAGTGCCTCCCAATACCCATTTCTCCCCTCCCCTCTGGGCCCTTGTCTGATTGAGTTGGCATGGGTCCTGTGCTCAATGTCACCATCGCCACAAGTTCACATGTGCAAGCTTCCAGTGGTCCAAAAACCTCTGCTTCCCTATGTTCATGAACCAGCCCTGGCTCTTACAATCTTTCTGTCCCCTCTTCCACAATGGTCCCTGAGTCACGGGTGGGTGAAGTTCAGGATAGGAGTCCTATCCAAGGATATACACTCTGCAGTCTCTTATTCTCTAAAACTTGGCCAGTCATGGCCTTTTGTGTGCATCGCACTCCATTGTGTAAGGAAGCCTTACTGGCAAGAGTTAGGGGATGCACTAGTATTCTCTCTACCCCTTGTTCCACTATGTTTCATGAGCCTTAGTTGTGGAGGTTCAACTGTAGATATGCCACCTATTACTGGGCATCTCTCAGATATATATTCTCTATGTCTGATCACTTGTGCAAAACGAAGCTTCTCTGATGAATGGTGTACAGTATGTTTGTCTATAAATATCAAGATTGCTATTTAGCATATGGTAAGAAATTTCATTTGTCTAGAGACAGGATTTTCTCTAGGATCTAGGACCCATCCTGCCCTATGGATTTGGCTGAATTTACAGTGACACCCATGAGTTCCCTCCCACTGAGAGGGCCTCCAATTAGATAGCTGTTGGTTGCCCCCCAGGTAACAGTGCCACTACTGCAACAATAGAAGTAGTTTGCTGTGCTGGTCGTGATGGTTAATTAGGCTTTAGGGTTGGGTTGGATCATTGATGGTTTTTCTCCCTTGACAGTTTGCACAGCATCATCTAGCATTATGACAGCTAAACTTTGATTAGAAGGCCTCCAGGGAAGTTCCTGCTCCCCCACATGGTATCTTTTGTCATCTGATCTGATGCATCTACTGAAGTCCTCTCTATATGGATGTGAATTAACTGCTGAGAATTTTTACAATATTGCTTTTTTGTTCATTTTAGGTTTCTATTTTTCTCTTTTCTCTCTAGCACATACAAACATTTAAAATCATTTTCTTCATCTTCTTTCTCTAATGTTAGTGTTCTGCTCCATCCCCTGGTGTTTCTGAGAACACCTTCGGGCCCAGCCCCTCACTTCTGTATGCTCACAGCCACTCCAGACTGCCTCACAGGAACTGCACATTCTACTCCTACTTCTTGAGTGTATCTTCAGTGTGGATGCCTGGAAGGTAGAGGGGGACGGTAGTAAGGTCATCATAGCCTGGCCCTGCTTGGAGCAGTGTGTCAGACCTGTGGCTTGTTGCCTCTGCTTACCTGCTCCTCCGTCTGTAGATTTTTATGAGTGCCAGTGATGGTTCTATACTCACGTGGGAGCTCTTCTCCTGGAGTGAAAAGTGACTTTTTTTCTCATCTCAGGGTTGCCTTGGTGTTTTCTGTTGCTTCACTGATGATTTATGACCTGATAAACCAATTCTTTTAGACTTCCGTGATTGCAGGTTGCATTTGTGTTGTAACTGTGAGATGAATATAACCAAGGAAAATCCCTTAGACGTGCTGGTCATTAATTCTTGCACAGTTTTAAATGCAGCTTAGTGTATAGCTTCATTAAATCTGTTAGTACAGGACTTTAACTGAGAAGAATGGAATCCTATGATTTGAGACAGTCATAAGTGCTGTATGAACAAAGATAATTGAACATTCTGAATTCCAAGTCTCTCTTTAGTCAGTGTTTTTGTCAACTAAAGCAGGTTACCCTCATCTATCTGTGTAGTGAGTGTTCTAGTTCCATTTATGTTGTTGTGACAAAATATCCTAACAAGAAACACCTCGTGGGGGAAACAGCTTTAGTCAGGCTCCAGGTTCCAGCCCATCATAGCAGGGAAGTCACAGTGGCTGGAGCTTGAAGCAGTGAGTTACACCCACAGACAAGAGCAGAGAGAAATGGGTGCAGCATGATGATGTCCTTGCTTGTCTGTGCTCAGTTCAGTTTCTCCACTGGTAGAGCTCAGGACCCCCTGCCTAGGGAATGGCACTTCCCACAATGGGCTGGGTTTTCCCACATCAATTAACAATCCCTCACAGACATGCTGACGGGCCGACCCAGTGTAAACGCTCCTGTACTGAGACTCACCTCCCAGGTGACTAGGCTCTGTCCAGTTAACAAAGCTGACTGTCACAGGGAATCTTTTCTTCTCTTGCTTAAAGGTCCTGTTGTGATTTCATTTTCATTGTGTGCCTTGTGGAGTGAAGTGAGTTCTATCTCAAGGATTAGCAAACTCTGTAAAGGTCCAGACGAAATGTATGGGGTCTTAGGGTATGTACCACAAGTTTTCAGTGTTCTTGGCGTCAGTAAAACTTTATGGATAAAGATATTTGAATGTCACATAGTCTCCATGTTTCATAAAATATTTTCTTTTGAGTTTTAAAACTACTTTAAAATACAAAAATCATTCTTAGTCGTAGAATCTAGGAAAGCAGGCAGCGGCTGGATTTGGTTTGGTCTGCCTACTCTGCTGTAGCCCTTTCAGTTCCTCATACACGGTAAACAGAGGCGTCACTGGTTCTCTGAAAGGTGATGGTTTTGAAAACTTGCAAGACCTGGATAATCTATCCTGACTTCTACCAGAGGAGTAAATTGGAGAGATCTAAGGATTTGAGAAGAAAAACAGCAAAATAAGTGTGTATCTGTACAAATATTAATGCAGTTTGCTAGGGTTTTTTGAGGATTTGTGTATCCATGTTCATCAAAGACATTGGCCTGTAGTTTTCTTTTCTTACAACTGTCTATATGTGACTGGTATGAAAATGTCCACACTAACTCCAGTTTATTCTAGCTGACCTTTGCCCACTCTGTGCCTTTGCTCAACATGCCCCACCTGCCACCCTCCCCAACTGCAGCCAGACAGACAGAACAGCCATGAAGGCTGCACCTGCATTTCACGAGTACATTGTTTCTACACTACTGGGCAACTGGCCAGGTAGCTCATCCTCTCCCAGCATCTCCATGGAGCCCATTGTTTCCACAATTCTGAGAAACTTGTTTTTCCTAACCAAAACTTTTTGTTAACTGAAAACTTCTTAACTGACCTGCCCCTGGTCTGGTGTTACTATGGTTATTGACTTTGCCCCAGCATGATATAGCTGTGGTTTTAAGCTTTATAAGCCCTGCCCTGCTTCTCTTCAGGGTCGAGAGGTCTTTTGGGTGTTAGCCCCCTCTTGACCATCGGCTATTAATAAAGGACTCTGAATTAGAGCATCATTATGTGGCGTTTCTCCATGCCTTACACTCGGTATCACAACATCTGAGTGATGGTGGCCCCATCACTGTAACGTGATGTTGTCTGCGATCTTTTTTTCTTTGTAAATATATATTTTTATAGCTATGAACTGTGCGCTGTTCACTTTGCCATGCTGTGTTTTAATTTTCATTTGTGTGTGTGCATGCATGTGTGCATGTGAATGCATGTGCATGTGTCTGGAGGCCAGATGTTGATACATGATGTCTTCCTCAATCTCTCTCCACCTTATTCTCTGAGAAAAGGTCTTCCACTGAAGCCAGCGCTCCCTGATTCAGGTAGACTGGCTGGCTCAGAGCCCCAGGGGGCCTCCTGTTTCTACCTTTCCAGTGCTGGGATTATAGCTCCACATAGCCACACCCAGCTCTTTATATAGCTTCAAGATCTGAGCTCAGGGGTTCAGATTGTGTATCAAGCACTCTACTAGCAGCCAGCTCCCCAGCCCTGATTTCCTCTTGGTTTCTCTTTTGACTCAATAGCTCCTGATTGTTGTTTCATTTTCCTATTTAATTATTATTTCCTTTTTTTAATTTTTCATTGTTATTTACATTTGGTTTCACATCATTGCAGTTGGAAGAGATGTTTAGAGTCATTTTCACCTAACTTAAATTTGTCCATACAGAAGTTTCTAACTTATAGTGGAGTTGTAGCATTATAAACTCATTGTAAGTTAAAACTACTGTAAACATAAAATTCATTTAGGGGCTGGAGAGATGGCTCATCAGTTAAGAACCCTGGTTGTTCTTGCAGAAGACCCGAGTTTGAATCCCAGCACCCATGTGACAGCTAACAACTGTCTATAACTCCAGTTCCAGGGGATCCGATGGCCTCTTTTGTGACATGGGTGCACTTACCTACATGCAGGCAATACACTCATACCCATAAAAGTAAAAATAATATATAAATAATTCATTTAACACACTGAAAGCATCACAGGTTAGCATACAGTACACTTCAGAGTATCTGTGGTTACCATGGGTTACCGTGGGGCTCACTGGGAGCCAGGACTCACTGGAGGAGAGCATTGCCCTTCGTATCACTGGTGTGGGAGAGACCAAACCAACATTTGAACTAAAGTTTCCATTGGATGCACTTTGCTTTCATCCCGTCGTTGTAAAATCACACGATTGTGCGTTGAACTTCGAGAAAATAAATCGGGGCTACTCGGCCTTGCTTTGGGACCACCTGGCCCATCCTGAACAGTGTCTGTACACCTGAGAAACACGAGCTTCGAGTGAAAAACCATCACTTTTGCAAGATTCACTGGGAACCCTGTTGCTCAGTCTCTTCTCTTACAGGCTTTCTGTCTGCATGGTTAGCTAGTGTCAGAGTATGTTCTTGAATGTCCCCCTATGATTCTTTCCTATTACCCTTACAGTTCCGTCACTGTTTGCTTTACGTACCTAGATACAGATGCAGATGCGTACGACAATGCATGATCATTACTGAATCTGCCTTCGCAGTTAGATCTTTTATCACTATATTAAAATACGTTGTATTCACTGTGGCTTGTGACTGCAAGTATATTTTGTTTGACATCAGTATAATCACCCCTGCTTACTTTGGTCAACATTTGTCTGTCTGGTCGGTTTCTTTCATCTCCCTCTCAGAGTGTGTCATGAAATCTAACATAGCTCTCTGGTAGACAGGAAGAGGCTGAAGTTGCATTTTTTTTACCGTATTCCTCCCCTACACATCTTTCAGTGGGAGTTTCGTCCACTCACTTTGGAGGTGATTACTCCTAGGCCTGGTCTTATCATTGTCACCTGTCAGTTTGTTTCTTTGTAGAGTTTTGTTGCTATTGTTCTTTCTGTTTCTTTGTGGTTAGTGATTTTGTTACTGTTGTAGTAGCAGTGCAGCAGTTTAGTTGTTTGACTTTTGGGAGGTTGGTTTTCTGTGGCTGGGATGGTTGCGGGGAGGATGGAGTCCAGGATCCGACACGTGCTAGCCGAGCACCTTACCACGGAGTTATATCTGTCGTCCTGTATCCTGACTTGTTTTGTTTTCAGTGTATCTGCCTTGCACAGTTTTCTGGTTCAGGTTTCATACTCTCCACTTATTTGTATCTGTCATATGAGCAGCGTGTCTCACACGCGGTTGACGTGTACTGTCATGTTTCCATGTTTTAATGTGTACTTTCATGTTTCCATGTTGCTGACTCAAAACTTCATTTAAGCCAAAGAATTCCCCTCACATCTCTTGTAATGCCAATGAACTCTTAGCCTCTGTTTGTCTAGGAAAGACTTTATCATAAACTCTTAAAAGAGAGTTTCTACAGACAAAACATGTCAGCACCGCCGCCTTTCTCCTAGCATGACAAGCTGACGTGCCAGTACAAGCTCTCCTGGAGTGTCCACAAGTCAAAGCAGGTGCTGAGGTTTACAGGGATAAACATGCCTTCTGTCTAGGGGCTGCACTGTCTTCAGGGCACACAAATCAGGCAACTGTTTGAGGGACATATGGATGACAGACTGTCCATGTAGGGGGATCAGCAAACTAACTGATAGGGTCTTTGGAAAGACAGAATGGCAGGGTCTATGTATCAGCTGTAGAGCTCTGTAGCTGGGTGCAGTTGGCTATTCCTCTGTGCTGTCCCTAACTTTTCCTGTGTGATTTAGTTCTTCCCACTCAGTCAGACAAGACAGTTCTTCCCATCGAGTAAGATAAGACAGAGGCAGGACTCCCAGAAGAGTTAGGGAGGCTGAATCTTCACTTTGTCATCTCTTGTCTGGGAGAGAAAACAGTCCAGACTGAAGGGAGTGCTTATTGGCTTGAATTGTGCCGGACTGGGGAGGGCTGGCCCAGGGGACGTGAACCTGTATTCCTCTCTTTCTGAAGCTGGAAGGGAGATTTTATTTTATGATGGGTCATATAACTTCTCAACTGTACACTAGCGCTCTTACAAAGGTGTTATCTATAAACTGTTGTTTAATCAGGCTTTTTTTTTTTTTGGTCTTTTTGAAACAGGGTCTCCCTGTAGCCCCAGCTCTCCTGGAACTCACTATGTAGACCAAGCTGGCCTTGAACTCACAGAAATCTGCCTGTGTCTGCCTCCCGAGTGCTAGGACTACAGGCGTGTGCCACCAGTTTTTACGGGAGAGCAAGAGGTCCTCTTATTGTGACATCTTGGTAATGTCAGACTTTTGAGCTTTTCAAGAAAATTATTTTACCAGAAATCTGAGAAGGCTCCTGCCTGTGTGCACAAAGCAGGTTGTCCCCATACGTCTCCAGTCCGAGGCTAAGTTGTGGTGGTCTGTGGAGGCTGTTCTGTGTTGTAGTGCATCCAGTTTCCACCAGAATATCAAGGATCCTCTTTTAGGATGTGGTGTGTCTATTCATTCCTATCAATTCAGTGCCTGTCATTTCCTTGGATTCATATTAGGCCAGAGACAGGAGAAAATTACCCATGAATGTCCTTAGAAAGCCACATGCCAGTGACAATGTCCAGATCATGTAAATGTCATAGAACTGTACTCCCTTTCGTTGGTTGTGAGCACAGTGCCCAGCACCTTCCCCAGCAACAGAGAGAATGGCAGGAGCCTGCTCCTTCACCTGACACGGCATGCAGCCAGCAGCCTCTGGGGCTGCCCACTCTCACAGTGTTATGTAGATGCTCATTTCTCCAGTTCTTCCTTTCTGCACACACATATGCATGCATAAACACACATGCACACACGCATGTACACAGCGCACACCACAGTGCCTACCTTCCTACCTGATCTTCCGAACTTGCAGTGATGGTTTCAGTGCTGTGATTATTTTGACCAGTTTAACTTGAGAGCTGTTTTATTTTGAGGAATCCTCTTCTGCAGCATGGCTTTACACTGACAGTTTGTTTCCAGTTGGTCATTTATAGACGTACAAGGCCATGTCTTCTCTTATCTGGCATTGGGAGTTCAGTTCTGGTTCCTACATTTTACTACCAAACCAGATGCCATCAGATCAGATCTCAGTTCTGTGTCCTGCTCTGGCTTTAATTCCTTCCGATCCCAGCACCGGGGTTTTCGAACTCAGATAGTGCAGACATCAAGAAAGTGTACTTACTAGCTGTTTTTCTACAGTGTTAGATTTTTTCTGTGTTTTACATTACACACATGCCTGCACATACATGTAATCTTTTCTTTCTAACTATAAATTTCAATTGATATAAAAAATTAAGGATGTTATAGGAACTTGGCTTACAAGGGTTAGAGAACGGGTAAAACAGTTTTTATCAAAGTTCCTATATGAGCTGTGTCGGCACTATGCTCTACCTGTTGACCTGTAACTTTCCACCTACATCTCTTGCTTGTCAGCATCCCCGAGCTTCTTCTCGCTGCTTCTCCCTTCACTCTTACCACAGTTGTTTAGCTGGTGCTTTCCAAATATTTCCCATAGTCACAGTCCCGGATCATTTGAAAACTTAACATCTCAGCCTAAGAATCAGTTCCACCATTTCTGACTACCTTGCGTATAATTGCCCATTCGATCCTTTGACAAAACACTAAGCTTCCTCTACAGCATTTGTGGCAAACGGGCATCCGCGGGGGCGCTCCTGTGGACCCTCTCTATTACCTCTCTCCTTTTCTGTACGATACCCTCCAGCTGATCATAAAGTCCATTTCTTTCACACACACCTTTGTACCCCATCAGCAATGGGATGCTGACAGAAGTACACTGAAATGGTATGTCCTAATTGGAAGAATTGATTAAAATTAATGTGTTTACTTTGATTGCTTCAGAAATCTATACCTGTTCAAAACTACATGTAAAATCTGTGCATGCTACATTTTAAAGTAAAAAATGTTATAGTTTGCTTACTTTTCATACTGATTCAAGTGATATAATAGCATAGATTTGTATAGCCAAATAAATTATTTTAAAGTATGCCCAACACAAAAATTTTCTGGAAAAAATTTATTATTTTATTTATTTTTGCTTTATTCATATATAATGATCTTCTCTTCAATCTTCTTTATTTTAGTATCCAGAAGATATAGGTTTAGAGGGATTTTCAGTGATTATAACTCAGCTGATAAGTGTTAACATGGGACTGACATATGATGATGTCAGGAGATGTTCCTGTTCCAGAGCTACATGCGTGATGCAGCTGGAAGCCCTGTAAGACAATTTCATAAGTAATTTTGTATGTGCTCCTCCAAGATTATTTCTATAGTGTGATAAATTTTGGAAACTTGCTTTCCATGTCATAAGTTGAAAGATATGTTATGCTTGAAGAGATATCATTTAAAATATTTTCCGTGGACTGGAGCATTGGCTCAGCAGTTAAGAGCACTAGCTGCTCTTGCAGAGGACCCGGGTTTGGATCCCAGCACCCACATGGTGATTAACAATTGTTTGTAACTCCAGTTCCATGGTATCTGATGCCCTCTTCTGACCTCTGTGGGCACTGCATGACATGGCATAATGTAGGCATAACACTCATATACATAAAAGAAAAATAAGTTTTATAAAATAAAAGTTTCCATGTGATGCATGAGTTTAAAAGTGCTATATATTATCAGGATAATTTCCTTTAGAGGAATCAGAGGAACAGAGTTAATATTGAGAAAACCATGAAGTATCCTCTGAGTGTTGAGACACTACAGATGCTGTGTTATTGAGGTCTTTGGTGCTTGGTGACACCCTTAATAATAACATACGGTACAGGCAGTTTGGGCAGTATTTTGAGAAAAAGTAAGAAGAGGAAGGCTTTGAAGACAGGAACATGCCTCAATTTGCAGGTATTATGATTCCTCAACTGGAAAAATCAACAGAAACAATACACAATTAGGATAATAATAAAAATGTCAACAAATGTACGAGAATGAATGAGTTTAGAAAACAAGAGCATGTTTGTAAGTTAAGTACAATCTAACTTTTTAAAAGAATTCGGGGAGGGTCCGTGAGTAGACATAATGAAGAGATGATATTTGGAGCACCATGAACTGGCATTCATGGTGATAGGAGAAGTTTTATGGGTGGATGCTGCTGTGCACTGTGTGTGGAGACATGAAGGTGCTGCGCTCTGTCTGTGGAGGGATGGAAGCAAAGAGAGGAGGAGGAGACAGAAGACAGAATAGACTGCAGAGGATGGAGTCTCTGGCACACAAGCAGAACTCCTGGCTGTTGTTAAGACCAGATACGTGACCAGACCTAAGGGGTCTATGCAAAGAGGTCTGTGGTTTGACTGATGGGATGGAAAGATGAAGATAATTTTCTCTGATCAAAGAATGTCAATACTTTCATAGAAGGCGCAAAACAACTGTCTTAGGGGCTGAGAATTGAAAATGGGTTGGCAAGTGTGATAGAACTGTTGGGCATTTTGAAAACATTCTCAGAAGTTATGATAATGTGATTTCAATCAACATGATTGTATTTATTCAATTTAAGGTTCCAAATTGCATATGAAAAGAAAGGGCAGAATAATGTCCATGGGATTCAGAAAGAAGGTTCTAATGGGATCTATTTTCTCCACAGAGAACTAGATTTTGGGCTTTTTCCTTTCCAAAATTTTTGGAACTTTAAATGAGAAATAAGCAAAGTTTTTAAACGGTGTCTCACTATGTAGCCCAGGTTGACCTTGAACTTTTGATCCTCCTGCTTTAACTTCCTGAGTCCTGGGATTACAGGCATGGGCTACTACATCCTGCAAAATCTACTTATTTTGAGACAACTGTCCTGTCTAACTCACCTTACTCCATTGCCTTTAGCTCAGACTGGTAACCTTCCGTATAGCGAATGCTCATTGTACATATCCTTTCAATGCGTTTCTTGTCTATCAAAATTTTGTATCTATTCATATGTCTCTTCAAAGACATGATTGTCCATCAAGAACAGACCACATATGTGACAGTCCTTCCATAAATATATGTAGCCTAGGGATGTTACAGTCATCATCACTTCATGACAGTTGAACAACGGCTAAATCACTTAATATTGCAGTTCTTCGATTGGATCATCTTTGTTAAGTGATACATGACTATTTCCATCCATTCACATTAAGTCTGAGTCTTAGTCCATTTTCTGTTACAAATAACAGTATCACAATGCAGAGAGGATAAGTTTTACAGAAAAGAAGTTTATTTGAGTTCATGTTGTAGACCAAGGTCTAGATGGTCCAGCAGGCAGAGTTCTGAGGCTGTGCAAGTCATCACACGGCAAGAGGCCAGGTGTGCATGCATGTGTGTGTGTGCGCACGCATGTGCGTGTGTGTAGTGTGTGTGTGTGTGTGTGTGTGTGTGTGTGTGTGTGTGTTCTTTGGCCTCTCATTCTTCTGATAAACCATCATCTCATTGGATACGCTCTGGTCACATACCTGGTCTTAATCATCTCCCAAAGACTCTTCTAGACAGATTAAATTTCCACATTTGCTGCCTCATCCTAGGGATTTAACACCAACTTTAATTTTGTAGCATGCAATCACAGCAGTTTGTAAGAAATGCAGTACTGGGAATTAAATTTAAACAGTATTAAAATTCAAATTTAATTTTGACTGATTTTCTTCTGCTTAAAGCATTTTTTTAATTTGAGCCACCTTCTGGCTCATATGACTTATGAATGTCACATTGTTTAGATGTGGTTTTCGTGGCAAGATTTATTTACCTGAGGACTGTTTTTCACCGTAGGAGCTCCAGTGGTATAAGGACTTTTAGCAACTGTAGCGTGCAAGAGTACAAGTATTATGCTTCGAAATTTGAGGTGAAATGTCTTCATAACCTTTTAAATGTGCAACCATTACCTGAAAATCAATCAGTGTGTGGCAATGGGATTTTGGAACCTAATGAGGAATGTGACTGTGGTAATGGAACAGTAAGTAATAAATACTGAAGATTGATTACAGTTTTCACCATCTAATAAACACAAAACATTTGTCACATATATGTTGGACCCTGGTAACATCTCCAACTTACAGGGGATATGTCAGAGAATGGCCCCAGTCTCTCTATTCTATTGAAACGTCCATTGAATTTGGACCAAAAATTTTCCAAAAATTTTTGTAACTGCAAAAATGTCTAAATATTATAGTTTGATGTTTTTCATCATTATCAAAAATATCTGCAATTACAAGCTTTTCAGTGTTGCTTTTAACTTTTTTGATCGATTTTTATTTTTGTGTATTGTTTTGGCTGCATGTATGTAAGTGTACCCATGCCAGAGGCCAGAAGAGAGTGCTGGATTCCCTGGGACTGGAGTCATAGAAGGCTGTCAGCCACCATGTGTGTACTGAGAACCAAACTTAGGACCTCTGCAAGGGAGGCCAGTTCTTCTAACCACTGAGCCATCACTCACCCCCTAAATGTTTTTATAGTTACTCACTTCTAAATCCAGTGATACCTTGGATTATGATTCCATCAACCAAGTTTCCAAAGCACACTAGTTTCTGCTAGCGAGAGCCCATATTTAGTCTGTTATAAATCTGATTTAACCCTCCTCAATTTAAATAATACAAAGTATCTTCACAGTTCCTAGCCCGGGAATTGCATAAATTCTTTCCCCTATACATAAAAAGTGACCACCATGTTTATACATTGTTAAATCCCTACAAATAATCTTCTGCTCCAAAACTAAAACCTGTATGTCTGAATCTCTGTGTGTGTATGTATGTATGTATGTTCATGTGTCCATGTGTGTCTTTGTGTGTCTGTGTGCCCGTGTCTTTGCGTTTGTCTCTGTGTGTGTCTGTGTGTTCATATTCTTACATGGTTTCCAAATACATGGATTTCCCAAAGCTATCTTTTTAAATTTTTATTTTATGTGCATTAGTATTATGCCTGTCTGTCTGTCTTTAAGTTCACCATGTTGTGCAGTGCCTCAGAGGACAGAAGAGGGTGTCAGATCCCCTGGAACTAGAGTTATGGCTGGTTGTTAGCCACCATGTGGGTGCTGGGACTTGAACCCAGGTCTTCTGCAAACAGCCAGTGCTCTTACCCTCTGAGCCATTTCTCCAGGCCTCCCAAAGCTATCTGACTTTCCTGGTAAGCAACACTGAATCCCCCTTGCATTCTTCTGTCATTAGATATGGTGCTGTCTCCTTGACAAAACGCTTCCTATTTTTAATGAAAGACAGAATGAAACAATACACTCTATGGCTGTCTCTGTGAATAGTTCTACCCATATAAACAAGATAGACATTTTTAAGAGGCAGAGTTTCAATGTGCAGCCCTTTCTTAAACTCATGGTCCTCCTACCTGGACCCCTTGAGTGTTGATCTAGAGGTCAAATGCCCAGGTCTGGTGCAGACTGACGTTTACAGAGCACACCACCAGTGCCCTATGAGCAGGGCCTCCACATTCACTGCTGCTGAAGAATGCTTTCTCTCTAGTACCAGAGGTTTGCTGCTGAGTGGCTGCTGGGTCTCGGTACTGTTTACAACCATTGTCAAGTTGAACTCTGAGGCTTTGAGAACTCCTATTCAGCTCTCAGAATCAGCCTGATCAGCTGCAGGACAGATGAGAGGTGGGGAGATTGTTTGTAAGTGGCTGAGCTGGAATCTATTTCTTCTTTTGAAATTCAGGAGTGCCAATTTAAAGAATGCTGCGACTATGAGACATGCAGACTGAAAGGCTCAGCCAGATGTGGGTCTGGACCGTGCTGTACCTCCAGTTGTGAAGTAGGTGGCTGGTGTTAGCAGAGGGAAGTTGAGCTGTGAGAGTAGAAGGCTGGATTAACTAAACCAGTACAGAGCTGGTAAAAAGAATCTGATTTGGTGAAATGATGCATATGCACGTAAACGTAAGTCTCCAAAGAGAATTACTGTGAAATAAAGACATCTCAGATTAGCACTTAGTGTTCTGTGGTGTTGAAACCACAAAGTGTACCATCTCGAAAATGATCAAACAGGAGAAATTGATATGTTACCATATCAGTGCTGCTAATAGATAAATTGCAAGGTCTGAGACATGGTAACTGAGGAACTGTGAAGTGCGAAGTGCACTGTGCTGCTAAGCTCTTCGGTTACTATTTACGTAGGAAAGCCTTCGTTTCTCATGAACTTTTCTACATTTAAAATGTTAATTACTGTGTGTATGTGAGTTGCCATGTGTGTGCACAGCACATCAGCGTCCTCCTTCTACTGCTGGTTCAGGGATCGACCTGAAATCACGCTTGGCCGGCGGCCCCTCACCAGCTGAGCTGTCTCGCCAGCAGCTCACCGGTTTGTGAGATTTATTTCCAGGGTACGAAATTCTAACTCAAAAGAGATTCTTTTCCTTTCATTACTTTTAGGATACTACCTCATTTATTACTTATACTTATTTTATTAAATATTAATTCAATCAGGGGATTAGAAAGACAGATTTCAACACACATGTTAGGTCAACATTTGGACACTGTAACTTCATATAGATGGCAAAAGATGACAAGCTTGTTCGGCCAGCCACAAAAATTTAGTAGTTAACTTGACTATCTGAACTGTGCAGAGAAACCTTTGTGTTTTCAAAATAATAAATATTGGTGGTTATAAGCATTAACACATCATTACCATGAATTACTCTAAGGGCTTTTCCATTGACTCTGTTAAATACTTCAAGAATTATGAGAATGTAATCCTTATCCCCAGTTTACAAATGGAAAACAGATACTTTATAGATCTCCTACACAGTAAGCTGGAACGAGTCCAAGCTGAGGCCACGTCAAGACCAGGTAGCCTGGCTCCTGGGTCTTTCCAGTAACAGAGGTGGAAGCTGTGGTTTAATCTGTGTGTCCTCCTTCCACATGCTGGTGGAGGTAGAAGGTGCCACTGTACAACACAGGGCATGGCGGGGTCGGGGGCTGCAACCCTGCTGCTGTCAGAAGGTCCATGCAGCCTTCTCTGACAGCCCAACAGTTACCCTTCTCTGAGCTCCCCAGTGGGGACGCTACCTAATCTTTCTTTTGGAGAACTCTTAGCTGTCATTCATCACATAGTCATAATCGGGCATGTTTTATTTGCCGTGTGCTTTGGTAACTAGCTATTGAGACAGTCACAGACCAGGGCCTTTTTTCTTTTCCTAGCTATCAGCCGCAGGCACTCCTTGTAGGAAGATTACTGACCCAGAGTGTGACTTCACAGAATACTGTGACGGAAACTCTAGCCACTGTGTTCCAGACACGTTTGCAATCAATGGCCATGTGTGCAGGTTGGGATCTGCATATTGTTACAATGGACAGTGCCAAGTTGTTGATGACCAGTGTGCCCATTTATTTGGAAAAGGTATTGCTTTCTTTGTATTTGTGCTAAATTGAGGTTGCTGCATGGGCTATATGCTTAGAGCCTATAAATTATATAAAAACTGTGACTAGCAAATCAGGAGATCCTAAAGTCTTAATTCCCTTTTCTTCAGGTCATTCATGATCTAATGCTGATAACGTGAACTCACAAAGCTTAGAGTGAATTTCATCCAGATGTAAGCATTTCCTCACTGAGGAACTGCTTAGTAGCTGCTAAGATCATGGTAGTCATAGTTACCTGGTTTTTGGCAGGTTTTGTTCATTTGCTTTGAAACCGGCTCATTATGTAGCCCAGGAAGACCTTGAATTCATCCTTCTGCCTTGGCCTCCTGAGCACTGAGATTACAGACGGGCACATTGCACCTGGCTGAATTTCTTGTTCATTTTTTTTCCCCAGAGATATTTTTAGAGAAATCCAAATAAGACTCGTGCACGCATGCTTATGTTTTTGGTGCATCCCAATATGATGGTTTTATTTGTACAGGGATTAAAATAATTTGAATACATCAGAAATTTATAGTGAAATATTGGAAATCAGAGTGTTGGGTTCTGGAAAGGAGCTGACAGGAAATGACTCTTCAGACTGATTTTCATTAGCAGAGAGCCTCCTGACTGTGTGGGCCATAACTGGGCCTCCAGGTAGGACCTTCATGGACCCATATCATGGATTAGGATCTAGAAAGGACAGAGCTTTGTGTCAGAGACAACATAACAGGACCTTAAGTGAAAAGGAGGCTTTCCTTTAAGATGTGGAGGGGAGCTACTTTGAGAGATCAGAGAGTGAGCATAATAGAAGCAGCAAGAGAAAGAGCTGCTGTAGACCACGTGTTGGGGGCCTGAAGGGGGAGGGAGCTGCCTTTTAAACGTCCCCTGAACAAAGGGGACATTTTCCACACAAGGAGCCAGGTGCTGGGTAGAACCATACGCCTCTGTTGCAGCTTCGAGATGGAGGGGCTGTGAGGCCACAGCCTGGTGCCCCCCCCTTTGTCCATACTGTCATCTCTCTCTCTCCTAACCCTACCCTAGCCAAGACATTTTGTTTGGATGCAGGAAACTCTAAGTTGTGTCAATTCAATGTATGTTTCCTCAACAAGAATTTGCATAAGATCTTGCTAAATCCACTGTGTCAGTCAAACTTGACCATGGTAATCATTTGAAATAACCATGCCAACTCAGTGTTACAAAAGCAAGCTTTGATTTCCATGTCCAAAACTCTGCGTGTTAACTGCATGCAGTTCATCTCTGCTGTGTTCTTCACACGGCTGGGGTTTGAATCCAGAATATGGTCCTCAGTTTATTTCACAGTTTTGTTTTGCTTTGCTTTTTTATTCTGGGAACCCAGGATAAGGGGCAGAGATTGAGCAGATCATGTTTCCCCATAAAGATCACCGTGGTACAAGACTTAAGCCAAGGTATGTAAGAAATTTTAAGGCTCGCGGTTCAGCATGTCTGCCGATACTCTGCTGCCCAAACTCAAGGTCAATGCACCAGAAATGTACTTCACTCTTTCCTGCGACTTATTGTCCTCTAAGTCTAGCTTATCCCTTTTGTGAGTATCTGTGCTACCTGGTCAAATACAGCCAGGAGTGAGCAGTGCACTTGTTGATCTTGGCTAAGATGACACATTCATCAAAGCCATTGTCTTCTTTGTTGTCATAATTTTTAGTGAGCGTACGAAACAATGGGTTTCAGTATGACGTTTTCTATAGTCTATAAAATTATAGACACATATATAACTGTGCCTTGCTCTCCCCCACCTCGTCCCTGTCCCTTCTCGTGCTTCTCCCCCTCCTAATTAGTCATTCTGTTTTCATATTGTGTATGTGACTAAGACATCAGGTTCAGACAGCTGTGTCTCCATCAGCCTCTGATAACGGTTTTTTCACCGCCTTGCTGGCTCCAAAGCTGAAGCCACAGGACTAAGCCCATTTGATTAGTCATGTTCCACCTTCAGGCTTAATGCAACGATGTAGCCCTCAGGTCTCCAAGATTTAGGTCTGCAGTGTAGCTGTTCAGTGTTCCACTTTGTCTTCTCTGTGATACTCAGCCTGAGAGATGAGTCTTCAGTTCAAATATTGCTGATCCCCATCAGAGGAGAACGGATAATACAGTGCAGTATGTGGTAGCTGCAAAGGTTTCAGCTCATGAGACATGCTTTAAATTTCTATGTCATCAGAAAAACAAGTTACCAGGTAAAGCCCAGCACTCATTGAACTAGGAAGTAGCTGTAGCTCAGAGAAGGGCTACCGATTATTATTGTTATTATTATTATTATTATTATTATTATTATTATCATTATTATTATTGTGTGTGTGTGTGTAAGACAACACATACCTATAAATGCCAACACATGGGAGGCCAGAGCAGGAGAGTCTCAAGGCCAAAGCCAGCGTGAGCGATACAGCATACCTTGTGCCGAAACAAAGAAATAAGTAAATACAACAGTGTAGTCTACTGCAATAGGTATAATCCTCTTCCGTGTTGTGTTCTGGCACTGACAGGCTACACACGGAAACCAAAGCACATGATGTTTTGAAAGTTTCATTAGCGAAGAACGAGTAATTAGCGTTAAGGATGATAACCCAATGACATATTTGCATTTTAAGGTGCTCAAGGCGCTTCCTACGCCTGTTTTGAAGAAGTTAATTCTCTACATGAGAGGTCTGGAAATTGTGGTTTTAAAAATTCACAACCATTACCTTGTGGACAAAAGTACGTATATATATAGAAAGCGATTCTTCTCTGAGTCACGTTTCTTGTCAAGTGACATATGCTGAATAATAATGACTGGCAAGTTGTATGCTAGGAAAATATTTTCAAATGTGTGCACGTGCGCGCGCACACACACACGCATGCACGCACACGCACACACGCACGCACACGCACGCACACGCGCACACATACGCACAGGCACATGCACACACGCGCGCACACACATGCACACACGTGCACACGCGCGCGCACACACACACGCATGCACGCACACGCACACACACGCACACGCACGCACACGCGCACACATACACGCATGCACACGCACAGGCACACGCACACACGCGCGCACACACACATGCACACACGTGCGCACATACGCGCACACACACACGCATGCACGCACACGCACACACGCACACGCACACACATACACGCATGCACACGCACAGGCACACGCACACACGCGCGCACATGCACACACGCACACACGCACACGCACACGCGCGCACACACACACAAGTAATTCAAAGTTTTCACTTTCCTTCTTATCCTTCCTGTCGAAGGCTGGTGCTTTCGGAGAGGTAATGAATCCAAGCCACTGACAATCAGTCCCCTCTGCACTGAGAATGAATGAAAACTGAGTTTCTGTTCAAGTCCATCATTGACATAACCCTAAAGCAAGTATTTTAATTTTGAAGGCATAAGGTTGTTGACGGGATAATATTTTTATTCTGTTTTGTTGTTTCTCAGAAACTGCTATCTGAAGCTACAAAGTACATTTCAAAAGCTCAATTCAGACAACTGGAATAGAATCTCATTCCATACCACATGATAACAGTAAAACAAGCCATATTTTAAGATGAGGGGATTATCTTGTAACAAGTGCTATCTAAATTTCACTGGCGTTTTTAAAGAGTCACAAGACACCTGGACGACAACTCAGTCAGTAACGTGCCTGCCTGAGCTCAGTCCACAGAATCCATGTAAAAGAACAGTGCTGGGGAGCTGGGGACAGACAGACCCCTGGAGCTCACTGACCAGCCAGCCTAGCCTACTTGGTAGGCTTGAGGTCATGGAGAGACCCCGTCACAAAAAGAACTCAATAGCACTTGTGGACTGACATCCAAGGTTGTCTTCTGGCCTCCATGTGCATGTACACATGTGCATCTACACACGCATGAACACAGAACCACACAAATTAAAATAAAAATGAAACTAGTTACAGAAATTTCTGAAGTTCTCAAGTGACCAATAAAATGTACTGGAAAAATCTGTGTGATGGAAGAAATTTGGAATTCAAATGAAAATCTGCACACAGTACAGAAACAGATGGGGTGGAGATCCTGGGAGGAAGGGGAGGCATCATGAGAAGTCGTCAGGCACACGATCACGAGATGCAGAGACATAAGTGCGGGGAGTCACTATGGGAAATATCAAGTAGCAGGTCACCAGATTGGCCAGACTACACCACAGTCAGTGTAAGTGACACAGTTCTTCAGAATAATGCAGAAAAAGGTGAAGAGGCCCTTAAGATAGCCCGAGGCCACAAAGCTGCGTTCTACAGTAGAAAATGAAGTCGTGTGTATATCCAAGCATTTGAACTCTGCTCCCAGTGCTCGTAAGCTGTTTGCATTTATAACATCATAAACAATGTTTTCATCCTGTTGTTTTCCTGGCTTTACACCGCTAACCAAAGATGATTTCATATACTCAGTACTAAACTTGCATTACTAAACAGTACAATGGTAACGAATTTCCTACTTTCCATTCCCAGGGATGTTCTCTGTGGAAAATTAGCTTGTGTTCAGCCACATAGAAATCATTACAAAAGTGCTGCTCATTCTGCAGCGCACTCCTATGTCTATGACAGTGTGTGTCTGTCCATACCTCCTGGGTCATCTGTGAGAGCAGATGGACAAGATAATGCCTACGTCGCTGATGGCACTGCATGTGGACCGCAGATGGTAACGGACTGATGACCTCTACTCAGCTGTGTTAATTTATGTTAATCCATATGACTATCACAATCTGACTATGGTACATCTGTTAATCTCCCATATGCTGCTAAATGGCGGTTAAAGGAAGCCCATTACCCAGTAGTATCACCTCTCCAGTCCCCTATGTGCACGTGTCCACTAACTACCAAGTCCTATTGTTTTTAGATCTTGCATTCTAATAGCTTCAAATAGTGAAATTCTGAGTTTTCATTTTGCCTTGCTTCACTGCAAGATGTAAGCACATGAGTTAGATCATCTGCTCACGTTTCTGATCAAAATATAACTGTTGAAAGCTTCAAAGAGCCAAACAAGAACACTGTGCTGCGACAGTAAGGTTAGGATTGCTGTGCAAACCAAGTACACACGTGTATGTCTGGGTCCTAGGAAAGTAGGGTTAGGACTGCTGTACAAACCAAGTACACACGTGTATGTCTGGGTCCTAGGAAAGTAGGGTTAGGACTGCTGTACAAACCAAGTACACACGTGTATGTCTGGGTCCTAGGAAAGTAGGGTTAGGACTGCTGTACAAACCAAGTACACACGTGTATGTCTGGGTCCTAGGAAAGTAGGGTTAGGACTGCTGTACAAACCAAGTACACATGTGTATGTCCATGTGCCAGGAACATAGGGTTAAGATTGCAGTACAGACCAAGTACACATGTGTTATGTCTGTGTGCATGTGTCCATGTGTCTGTGTGTGTATATCTGTGTATGAGTCTGTGTGTGTATATGTGTATATGTCTGTATGTGTCCCTGTGTCTGTGTGTCTATGTGTCTGTCTGTATGTCTGTGTATGTGTATCTGTGTTTGTGTGACTGTGTCTGTGTACATGTGTCTGTGTATGTATGTCTGTGAATGTCTCTGTGTGTATGTGTTGCACATATGTGCAATTTTACTCATGGAGTCCTTACATAAAGAAAGGACTGAAGACGTTCAGAGTTAGTTTGTCAGTAGGGGAACAGTCTCTCCTGTCTTCTTGGATGAAATTATTTCTAAGTAATTTTTGAACTATTACAAATAGAATATTTAAAAATATTCTTTGAGGGTGTTCATTCTTAGTTGATTATATCAGGGCTGTGTATGTTGTTTGTGATTTTTATGTGTTTACCATGTATATCTGTGTATAATTTGTAAGTTTGTGTGTGTTTACATGTGTTTATGTGTGTAGTTTGTAGGTTTGTGTGCATTTGCATGTGTATCTGAGTACAGACTGTGTGTTTATGAGTGTGTCTGAATGTAGTCTGTAAGTTTGTGTGTGTGTTTGCATGTTTATCTGTATGTAGTACGTTTGTGTGTGTTTGCATGTGTGTCTGTGTATAGTCTGTGAGTTTGTGTGTGTTTTCATGTGTGTCTGTGTGTAGTCTGTAAGTTTCTCTGTATTGAAGATGATCTATATTTGAAATCATGTCATCTGCAAACAGAATTTTACTACTTCCTTTAAAACTTAAATGTCTTTTATTTATTCTTGCCTAATTTTTCTAGCTAGAATATTTAATATTATGTTGAATATAATAAATATTAAATATAGGGATCAAAGGAGAGCTGGCATATTCAATTTATGATTTGTTTATTTGCTGTATGGTAATAATTTTGAACAAATAATTGTAAAGAGCTCTTTTTCATTCTTATTTGACAACTTTATATTGTGAATTACTTAGTTATACTTTGTGCCAACATTTTTGAAGAAAGAAAATAAGCTATAAAGCCAATTAAAGCAGGAAAGTTAAATGAGACCAAAATGTCACATATTCAGATTACCAATTACAATTTGATTGCACACCTTGGCATGACATGGTTTAACAATGGATAAAAAAAATGGAGTTAGAATGTTTCTTTTGCCAAATTATTCTGATAATACTATAACAAAAAATTTAACTGATTTATGGATTATATTTGAAACCCAAGCGAAATTGCATTCTACTTTTAAGGAGGCAACGTTTTAAAAATGAATCAATTTCTCATAACAAATGTTTAGTGTAGAAAATTCTGGTGAAAATTTCAGTCAGTCTCAGCTATAGGAATCAAAATGGACAGTGACACCATCACACGGTCATACAACTCAGACACAAGCAGACACTCATGGGTGTATTTCTGAGACCATTGCCGTGAGGAGGGTTACATTGGAAGCCTGAGTATTTGCATCTGAATCAAACTAAAATGGGCAAGAAGTCCTTCATCTTGAACATCATTTATGGATATGTAACAAATAATGACTTCTTTTCATTTTATATGAAATCTGTGACTGTGAAATATTCTACGTTTAATTTCAGTATTGTATAAACAAAACCTGCAAAGAAGTTCATTTGATTAGACATGACTGTAACGCCACTAAAAAATGCAGAGGGAATGGGGTGAGTGACTTTTCTACTTCACTTCATGAGGCTGTCATGGGGAACTCAAAACGAACGTTCTGTTTTGGAGAATTGATACTCTCGGCTATTTTTAAATGGCCCTGTCTGTCTATGGCAAGAGGATTAATATAGAGGCGATCAGATGACCTAATCTAATGCCATATCGTGAACTGCACTCTTTAAACACAAATGCCATTTGACTCATGTTAAGAACGTATTTCATTTGTTCTCAATTGTTTATATGAATCTAGTAATGTAACTTTTCTGTTGTTTAGACATTGCATTCTATTTTCTTTAAATTTACAGGCTTTTTGTTTTATTTTGTTTCCTGATCTTTTTGCAACAGGGTCGCCCTGTAGCCCCACCTGGCCTGGAATCGGCTATGTAGGTCAGGCTGGCCTTGATCTCACAGAGATCTACCTGCCTCTGCCTCCACAGTGCTGGGATTAAAGGTGTGCACCACCATACCTGGCTCAAATTTACATATTTTGGGGGGGTGGGGGTTATTATTTTCCCCAAAAGAAATTGATATGTAATATGGCCAACAGTAAATTAATAAACTCAGACTTATTCAAATGTATTGGTGTTCTGTTTAGTAAGTTTTAAGCTTTTAGATTTGGACTGTGTGAGACACCAACACCTTGTCATTAATCCCAGAAGTGCTGGACACACAGAAGCCTCCTGCTCTGGTTTTACGTTTTACTTTCTGTGGTTACAACTGTTGTCCTGACTTTTTATCTTTTGCTAACTTTTCTGTCTTAATCCTTCACTCTAAATATTTTACAAAAGTGACGTTATGTATTGTTAAATTCTTGATACTTTGTTTTATTGGTTGCAACTTTGTTGCTTAATAGAACACTGCTTATTCAATTATTTTACCATTTTGGATTGTCACCTCATAAAACTTTTCTATTTGTGTTTATTATGATTTCTCTATGTGTATTGTGTTTCCAGTAAAAAAAAAAGTTTTAAAGGAAAACTAAATTATTTGAACTTCCACCCACATTTTTGTTACTGTAGTTTTATGTTCATCTTGACCACATTCATTCCTCTTTGTTCTTCAGCAAAGACCTTCGGTTGTTGTAGGTCTTTCCCTTTAAATGCCTTCTTCAGTTTGACAACTTTGTTTACGCACATCCATTGAACACCTTACTTGGGGTTATGATTAGGCTTGTGCTGAATATGTAAGCCAAGTTGGTAAGAGCCGCCCTCTTAACAATATCCCATGAACATGCAATATCTCTTCATTTCTACAGAGTTTCAAATTTTGTTTAATCAGATTTTTACAGTTATTTAATATGTCACACACATAAATTAGTCCATGTGCAAATACGTATGCCATTTGTGCCAGTATAAATGGTATTATATTTTAAATTTCAGATTCTTACTGTTCAATGTTGTAAGCAGTTCACTTAGTAATATTATGTATATTAGGCTTGTGTCAGGCAACCTTGAATCGCGTGTTCTTTCTTTCTCCTTATTGAATGAACGCTTTGTTTTATCTTCTTGCCTTCTTTCATGAGCTAGGATCTCTAGTAAGGAGTGGTGGAAGGGGACTTGTATGGGACTACAGGATGGCTGCCGGGTCCTCAGGGTCAGCATCAGCAGCGGGCAGTTTTGTTTGGTTGTGTTTTCATGGGTGGTTTTTCTCCTTATGAGGAATTTACTGACTAATCCTGATTCGTTAAGAACTCTTATTATATGTGGTGCTATATTTATCAAATTATTTATCTCCTTTCATTCACATAGTCACATAATTAGTTTACTGGTATTATGGGTTGCGTTCATTTGTTTTTTAATGCGCAACCTGTTTTGACTATCCTAAAGAAATGCCATTTGACTGTGAACTGTTGAGTTTAATTTGCTAAGATTTTTGTAGATTTCCTCACTCTGTTTGGAGTAATATTGGAGCAAACTTCTCCTTTGTTATAATGTGTTGTCTGGCCTGAGAACTAGGGTAATGCTGGCCTAAGAGGATGAATTTGTGGAGTTTCCCTCTCCTATTTCTGCAGAGATTCTAGATGAATCAGTATGGCTTTTCCTCTTAAATATTTGATCTGGAGTAACAAGAGAATAAATCTGCTCTGGGTGCTCCCTATTTCAGAAATGATTGTGATGGTGTCTCATTCACAGTGCAGGGACTCTCTACCTGCATTATCTGTTTATGTGAGTTTTTATGGGATTTCTTTTCTCTCAAAGAATTAGTCCATTTTTCCTAGGAATCAATTTTGTTTGTTGGTTGCTTTTTTGAGACAGGCTTTCCCATCTGGCCTGGAATCCACTCTGCAGACCAGGTTGGCCTAGATCTCACAAAGATCCACCTGCCTCCACCTGATGAGTCCTGGGATCAAAGGCATGCTCCGCCATACCTGCCTGGCAATCATTTTTGAACATGAAATGCTTCATAAAATTTGTCTATTACCCTTTAATGCCCCACACTGATGGCATTTCTTTCACTTCTATTGTTAGTGATCTTGAGACTCTCTCTCTCTCTCTCTCTCTCTCTCTCTCTCTCTCTCTCTCTCACACACACACACACACACACACACACACACCCACACAAACACTCTTTTGACTGACTAAAGGCTAATCATGTTCATTTACTTTTGGTTTTTTGAGACAGGGCCTCATTATGTAGCCCTAACTGGCCTTGAACTTAGCTGACGCTGCCCTCAAACGCGTAGTCTTCCTGACTCGGCCTCCCAAGCACTGGGATGACAGGTGTCGACCACCTTGCCGAGAACAAGCACATTAGTACCTGGTAGTTATTGAATGCTTGTGCCAGGCCACGATCACAATGATTTCAGGGAGAAACTAAAGCAAAGCTCAGTGATTTGATTCAGTTCACATGGAAGGTGAGACTTGGAACCACACAACCAGACTCTATATTTTAATCTATAACTGTCCACTTTGCATTATATATATCTTTAGGTTATGTTCTCAAATAAATGTGAATTTATAAATGTCACATTTTATATATAAAACTCAACATATACAAATTAATATATTTTGTTAATAATTTTTTGTTTTCCATTTACATATTATTATATTAGTTTTACTATGACTTTTCAGTCCTTTGCTCTTCCTTATTTTTTAGAATAGTTTAAGAATCATAAAATTAACTTTTCTAATTTGTCAGTCTTTTCATTTTATGTCATACTAAATTTAATTACTAATTCTTTTAAGCTCTAACATATACTTGCTTTTCTTCTTTTTATTAGCATCTTAATATAAAACTATTTACAGTTTAAAATGCAACTGTATAACATTCTAATACTACAAAGTTGTTTTCCTGGCTTCTGCTCAACCTGTAACACAAATACTGAAAAGAACTCAGCTACATATAGAGAGTGATCTAGGGTAAAGAAAAAGAAGGCATGCGCAATAATTGATAATATAACAGGAAAATGTGTATTATCAAATTGTGCTCTCCTACTCAGGTCAGCAACCCTAAACTATGCACAACTTTAGTCTGTGACTACATTCCTGTGGCTGATCTCGGATAGTCCATGAACGATGACTTGTTAGTACACAGTTTCAACTTTATGGAAAGGAGTGACTCACCACAGAAACATACATATCTACTTGCATCTTTCCTGGCTCATGAAAACAGACCAGTTGACTACCTTCCTTGTCTGGGTGGGGAGCCGGTAGTGACATTTTGCAAATAAACTGCTGTACTCACGTGGTGATGTAATGTGGCCTCTGAAGTAGCTGCTCTTATAACCGTCACCTAACTGTTCAGTTAGCTACAGTATAGCCTGTACTAATTTGAAGGGTAGTGGCTTCAGGAAAATTTTCAAACTAACTTGAAGTGATTTCTTAGTTTGCTCACAATGATAGAATCTCATGGACATGGGTTATCTATCTTTCATGGTTTTGGTATTGGTGAATTTTTAAAGTTACATAATGATTTGTGTACTATTGAGTCATGACTGGAATTTTTTTCCAGCATCTGAAAACGCTGTTCCCCAATGCAGAGGAAATATAGCATGACATCAAATATTCTGTTCTGTTACAGTAAACAATACAGAAAGTTTTTCTTTTATTTACTCAAAGTAACCAGTGTCCTCCATGCGCTTTCAGTCTATTGTGATGATCTTTCATTTTAGTACTTTGCTTGCCCATTTCTCAGACTGTATAGTCATAAAACTCTTAAGAAAAAATATTTTATGTGATTCAGTCATTTATATCAGATTAAATATTAAGACAATTCAAAGACTGCATCTTTTCTGTTTTAGATCTGTAATAACTTTGGTAACTGCCAGTGCTTTCCGGACTATAGCCCTCCAGACTGTGAACTGCAGATGGGATCACCAGGGGGCAGTGTTGATGACGGAAATGTCCTGAGGGCCGGTCAGTACAGTTAAACTCATAAAGCAAGAGAGAATGTTGTGTTCTACAGACCTAATTAAAGCCATCTTAAAGACATCGGGTCTTTCATGACTGAATTCAGAGTTACTGTGAATGAATTAAGGTTGTACAATATTGGTAATCAGATTTTCTCGAGATCGTCAACACATATTTATACTTTGTCCTGCTCCTCTGAGTAAAGGCCACAGCACCAGTCCCCCTATGAACATGTTAGCAGGTGTTTCGAGAAGCAATAAAATTGAGGTTCATATTTGAGAAAATCTAAGCAATAACATAGAAGTTTGATAGTGAAGTAAATTATTCAGTAAGCAATAGTGCTAATCTTAATGAACTGAAGTAGACACGGAAATGGCTGATGAGCAAATTGCCCCATAATATCAAGTATCTGAAAATAACAATGAATAAAACATGATCGTCAATTAACGTTTAATGCCAAAATGTTTGAGGATGCTGTACAAATTTGTATAAAAGAATCAGAGGATGCGCAGAGCGTGAATATCATCTATTTAATTTTGTACAGTGAGAGCTAGGTGCGATGGCGCGTGCTGTACCCTAAGCACATGGGAGACGGCAGGAGGCTTGCCTAAAGTTCAAGGATACAGTAAGAAACCCTATCTCAAATAAGAAAATAATAGTTTTGTACAGCCAGCATTAAGGTTATCTAGGACAAATTCATGTGAAGGTGTCACTGAGCATTTGACGAAGCTGTTTCCAATTCTTTCGTGACATGAGGGATTCATGGTCCATACTTTAAAGTGAGTTGATCACAGTAACACATGGGATGCTAAAAGTCTGCACTGTGAGATCAGAGCCCTGGTGCAACTTCAGAAAGCCATGGTGGTTTAGAAACATAGCCTCTGAGATGAGTACTAGTCCTTTAAAAAGACAATGAAAATGAGAAGTGAAAGTGGGGGTGATGGCTCACAGCTGCAATCCTGGCACTTGAAGGAGAGATGGAGGAAGTTTGCTGCAAGTCTGAGGCCACCCCGGACTACAGTATGAAACGTGATCAGCAAATCAAACAAAAAGCCAAACAACGCAGAAAAATGAATGCTTGTTTTCTGTCACGACAGACTAATAACAGAAACTTGTGTGAGATATTTGTCAACAGAGGAAGGACAGTGGCCCTTGAGAAAGGACTAGGCAGCTTAAGACAGTATCAACTGTCCACTGTACATGACGGACGATTCAGAGGAAAGGAAGAAAGGGAAGAGAATTACAAGCACTTTGAAAATTCAAAGACACGCAGTGCTTGATTCATGGAAGCTGTTGGGTATAGCTGCGTGTGAGTCTAGCCCCCTCCTCCTCTGGGCTGTGGCTATCTCCTTTCACCCAGTCTAGCCACATGGTAATTCAACTGGGCAAAAGCAATATGTAAAACGCATTCATCTTCCTGCTGCAGACTCAGGGAAGGGCCGAGAGATAGCAAGGGTGATTCAAGTGTTTGGAACACTGTCTGCTACACATGATGTAACCTTGTGACACTGAAATAGGAGGAATTTACCAGGCAGTGCCATTTGGAAATTAAGACTTTCAAATCTACTTGTGTATAAAGAGGACTTGAGAATGAACAGCCAGCTGCTCCTCAGACACTCCTTCTGCGTCACTGTGCTGTCAGAACGGAGTGCAGTCTGGGACCACAGACCTTCCAAGATTTTGCTGACTGTTGAGAACACTCCTGTGAATCTTCCTGATACTGATGACTTTCCTCACAGTACTGGAGCGGTGTTTTCCTCCCAAGCCTTGGCTCTGTGCTAGAACCAGTCAAGGAATTACGATGGTCCAGACTGGCGCTGCAGCAGAGGAAGTCATCGCGAAGACACTGATGCCTGTGCCACAACTTCTGCCTTTGAACAATGTCAAATGGAAAAGAAGGGAGCTGAGCAAACTGCAAGAGTCCCAGGCAGCTCCACTGGGCAGGATTCTGGAAGGTCCTGCCATTGAACCAGGTGACAGCTCCAGACGAAACTGAGGACCAGACGTGGAGTGCTGCAGCTCTGACCTTCAGTAGCTTCTAATAATAAAAATGTTTGAAAGTGAAAAATAAAATCATTTAAAAACAGATGCTTATAATGGCATAAAGTGCGACGGACCAGCCCAGACCGGGGCAGTTCAGTCCGACGGGAACAGGGTCGTCGAGAGGGTGGACAAGGAGTCGGCGAATGACAAACAGACACAAAGGAGCTTGATGAAAGTCTGAGTGTATTTTTGCAGCTGCAAGATTTGAAATATATACAGCAAAGATTGCAAAAGTTCATCATCAGCATGACTGTTCTGTAATTAGTCACCTTCTAAGATTTTCAGTAAAAGTAAAACAATTTTTCCAACCTTCATATATAGCCAAAACACATTTCTCTATCTTATCAACCTGGTACTAGTCAGCAAACTCCTGCTTTATGATACTATGGTTTCTACTACCAGTTTTTATT